CAACAAAATTATTTGTTTTAACCTATTTAAGGGCAGTCTAGTCTGGGCACAGTGGCTCAATGTCTTAATACCAGCACTCTGGGAGGCCAAGGCGGATGGATAACATGAAGTCAGGAGTTCGAGACCAGTCTGGGCAACATGACGAAACCCTGTCTATACTAAAAATACAAAAATTAGCCAGGCATGGTGGCGGGCACCTATAATCCCAGCTACTTGGGAGACTGAAATAGAAGAATCACTTAAACCTGGAGGCAGAGGTTGCAGTGAGCTGACATCATACCACTGCACTCCAGCCTGGGTAACAGAGCCAGATTCCGTCTCAAAAAAAAAAAAAAAAAAGAGCAATCTAGCAGATTTAAATATTTACTATAATCAGTGACAAAGTACTATAGTACTATACTTTGTTTTGTGGTAAAAATTTATATAACATAAACTTACCATTTTAGCCACTTTTAAGTGTACAGTTCAGTGACATTAGGTACATTCATATTGTGCAGCCATCACCACCATCCATCTTTTTCATCTTCCCAAACTGTACCTTTTGTCTTAGCTAGGAGATTAACTTTTTCTTTTAACTAGTATACTATATAACTTGTCAAAGGTTTTTCTGTAAAATACACTCATCTGACAATCTCTGTCCCAACAGCTATCTGCGTAGTAAAGGCACTTGGTGAAGCCTCCATTATTTCAATCTAAGGACCTGCCTGCTTGAAGACAGACTGTAAAATGCCTTCATGGATGAGTTATGACTCTTACGATCAAACACCATCAGGGCAGCCACTGAAAGGACTGACCATGAGGACACTATGCTGAAATGAAAAACGCCTAACAACCATCCTGGCTAACACGGTGAAACCCCTTCTCAACTAAAAACACAAAAAATTAGTCGGGCATCATGGCACATGCCTGTAATCCCAGCTACTCAGGATGCTAAGGCAGAAGAATCGCTTGAACCCGGAAGGTGGAGGTTGCAGTGAGCTGAGATCGAACTATTGCGCTCCAGCCTGGGCAACAAGAGCAAAACTCCATCTCAGAAAAAAAAGAAAGAAAAAGAAAAACGCCTACAATACGCTATTTCCTAGTTGTGGTGACATCATGTCCCTACTGGTGTCCTACCTTCTGGTTGTGCTTCTCAGCCTCCCTTCTTGCTTCCCTAAAGAGTTTGTTCCTGGCCAGCTTTCCTCATCTACCCTTTCTCCCGAGGGCTTCTCATCCAGACTCCTGGCTCCAAGTCTCATCTGTTCGCTTATGTCTCCTACATATGCACCTATCAAGCATCTCCCCTAAACTCCTTATTCACACTATTTCCACTCACTATTTCACTTGGTATCTCCACTCAGATGCCTTATAAACACTTCAAATCTAACAAGACCAAAACAGAACTCTTAATTTCCCCACAGTATCTGTTCTTCTCCAGCCATCGCAGTTAATTATACTACTAGCTATCCTGCTTATGGCTTGGGCCAAAAGTTTAGGAAACATCCTAAAACAAGCCCACATCTGAAACAGCTGGTTACAACAGATTTATCACCAAGTCAGATCCCCAACCTGACCAACCATCATCATCTCCCTGGCTGCTCTCCTATCACTGATCACTAGGACAGCAGGAATAGCCTCTATTCATTCCTACTTCATTATATCCTTGATACATCTTTCTAAAGCACAAATCACTCATGTCACTACCCTGCTCAAAACACTCAAATGGGCCAGGCGCAGTGGCTCACGAGTGTAATCCCAGCACTTTGGGAGGCAGAGGCAGGTGGATCACTTCAAGTCAGGAGTTCAAGACCAGCCTGGCCCAAGACCAGCCTGGCCAACATGGTAAAACCCTGTCTCTACTAAATATACAAAAATTATCTGGGCATGGTAGTGCTCGTAATCCTAGCTATACGGGAAGCTGAGGCACAAGAATCACTTGAACCCAGGAGGCGGAGGTTGCAGTGAGCTGAGAATGCATCACTGCACTTGAGGCTGGCAGCCTGGGTGACAGAGCAAGACTCTCAAAAAAAGAAAAAGAAAAGAAAAGAGGCCGAGCGTGGTGGCTCACGCTTGTAATCCCAGCACTTTGGGAGGCTGAGGCGGGTGGATTACGAGGTCAAGAGATCGATACCATCCTGGTCAACATGGTGAAGCCCCGTCTCTACTAAAAATACAAAAAATTAGCTGGGCATGGTGGTGCGTGCCTGTAATCCCAGCTACTCAGGAGGCTGAGGCAGGAGAATTGCCTGAACCCAGGAGGTGGAGGTTGCGGTGAGCCGAGATCACGCCATTGCACTCCAGCCTGGGTAACAAGAGCGAAACTCCGTCTCAAAAAAAAAAAAAAAGAAAAGAAAAGAAAGAAGTCAGGGGCTTAGCCTTCTTCCCTTGTTCACTGCTGAATCCCCAGAACTTCAACAGTGTCTGACACCTAGGGAGAATTCAGTAAGTATTTGTTGACTTGGAAGTCTTTTGGGTTTTTGTTTTTGTTTTTTGAGATAGGGTCTGGCTCTGTCACCCAGGTTGGATGCAGTGGTGCAATCATGGTTCACTGCAGCCTCGGCCTCCCGAGTGATCCTCCCATCTCAGCCTCTCACATTGCTGGAACTACAGACATGAGCCACCACATCTGGCTAATTTTTTTTTTTTTTCTTTGTAGAGATGAGGGTCTCACTATGTTGCTCAGGCTGGGACTTGAGGTTTCTTTTAAAAAGTAGATATTAAAAATACATCTCAGATGACCAAGTGGGGATTTATTCTCAAAGTACAAGGATGGTTTAACAAAAATCAATTAAGGTAATATGCCACATTACCAGAATGAAGGAGAAAAACACAATGATCATCCCAATTGATGCAGAAAAAGCATTTAACAAAATTCAAGATTTTTTTTTGTTAAAAAACACTCAATGAAACAGGAATAGAAGGCAATATCCTCAACATAATAAAGGGTATACATGAAAATCTCACAGCTTACATCACACTCGATGGTGAAAGACTAAAAGTTTTTCCCCTAAAATCAGGAACAAGACAAAGATGCCCACTTTTGCCACTTCTATTTAATCCAGTATTGAAAAGTTCTAGCCAGAGAAATTAAGCAAGAACCTTCTCACTGCCTCATTTACCCTTTCTCCACAGGCATCTAAACTGGACAGAAAATAGTAAAATTATTTCTGTTCCTAGACACATAATCTTAAATGTAGAAAACCCTAAAGATTACACACACACACACACACACACACACACACGCACAGACACACACAGACACACACAGAGAGAGAGCACTAATAAATGAATTCAACAAAGTTGTAGGATATAAAATGAACATGCAAAAATTAGTTGCACTGGCTGGGCGTGGTGGCTCACTCCTGTAATCCCAGCACTTTGGGAGGCCAAGGCAGGTGGATCACGAGGTCAGGAGTTTGAGACCAGCCTGACCAATATGGTGAAACCCCATCTCTACTAAAAATACAAAAATTAGCTGGGTGTGGTGGTGCATGCCTGTAATCCCAGCTGCTTAGGAGGCTGAGGCAGGAGAATCACTTGAACCTGGGAGGTGGAGGCTGCAGTGAGCTGAGATCGTGCCACTGCACTCCAGCCTGGGCAATAGAGGGGAAAAAAAAAAAAGAAAAAAAAATTAGCTGCATTTCTATTGTTCACTAACAGTTAACAATCTAAAAAGAAAATATTCCATTTATAATAGCATCAAAAAATAAAATACTCAGGAATAAATTTAACCAAGGGAGACAAAAGACATAAACTGAAACTACAAAACGTTGCTGAAAGAAATTAAAGACATAAATAAATGGAAATAAATATCACGTTCATGGATTAGAAGACAATATTATTATTATTATTTTTTTTTTTTTTTTGAGGAGGAGTTTCACTCGTTACCCAGGCTGGAGTGCAATGGCGCGATCTCAGCTCACTGCAACCTCCGCCTCCTGGGTTCAGGCAATTCTCCTGCCTCAGCCTCCTGAGTAGCTGGGATTACAGGCACGCGACATCATGCCCAGCTAATTTTTTTCGTATTTTTTTTTTTTTAGTAGAGACGGGGTTTCACCATGTTGACCGGGATGGTCTCGATCTCTTGACCTCGTGATCCATCTGCCTCAGCCTCCCAAAGTGCTGGGATTACAGGCGTGAGCCACTGCGCCCGGCTTTTTTTTTTTTTTTTGAGACAGAGTCTCGCTCTGTCACCCAGACTGGAGTGCAGTGGTACAGCCTCGGCTCACTGCAACCTCCGCCTCCCAGGTTCAAGTGATTCTCCTGTCTCAGCCTCCCGAGTACATGGGATTACAGGTGTGCACCACCACACCTGGCTAAATTTTGTATTGTTAGTAGGGACAGGGTTTCACTATGTTGGCCAGGCTGGGAAGACAATATTCTTTAAATGATAACATTATCCAAAGCTATCTACAAATGCAGTCCCTATCAAAATGCAATGCAATCCCTATTAAAATTCTAACAGTTGGCGAGGCACAGTGGCTCATGCCTGTAAACCCAGCACTTTGGGAGGCCAAGTAGGAGGACTGCTGGGAGCCCTGGAGTCCTCAAAGCTAGCCTGGTGAGACTCCATCTCTACAAAAAATTTTTAATTAGCCAGGCACAGTAGTACGCACCTGTCGTTTCACCTGCTTAGCAGGCTGAGGTGGGAGGATCACTTGAGTCTGGGAATTCAAGGCTGTAGTGAGCAGAGATAGTGCCAATGCACTCCAGCCTGGGTGATAGAGTGGGACGCCATCTCAAAAAAAAGAATATTGTCTTCCAATCCATGTAGGTGGGGTTTCTTTCAATTTATTTGTCCAAAAAAAAAAAAAAAAATGGAGAGAAAAAAATTCTTTCCATTGATTTGTCCAAAAAAAGGGGAGGGACCCTCAATAGCCAAAACAATCTTGAAAAACAAGAACTAAGTTGGAGGACTCACACTTACTGATTTCAAAACTTCCTACAAAGCAACGGAAAGCAAAACAATGTGGTACTGGCTTAAGGATAGACATAAACCAATGGAATAGAATAGAGTCCAGATCTTCTGTAGTTCACCAGAATGATAATTGGGTGTTTCAGAAACATGTGAGATGTGTCATTCTCAAACCTTGTTATGACATCAGCACTACCCATCTAACCTGAAGAAAAGAAAAAGAAAAAAAAAAAACAGAAACTCTCACAAATATGATGTACTGATTTTTGACAAAAGGTACCAGTCACTGGGAAAAGGACAGTCTCTTCAACAAATGCTACTGGGAAAACTAGATAGTTAAATGCAAAAGTGAAATTGGACTTTTCTTTTACATTATACACAAAATTAACTCAAAATAGATCAAAGAAACGAAAGAAGAGGAGCTAAAAACTATAATGTCCTTAGAAGAAAACATAAGAAAAAGATCTTCATGATGCTGAATTTAGCAAGGACTGAAAAGTAGAGGCAACAAAAGAAAAAAATTGATAAACTGGAATTCATAAAAATTAAAAACTTTTGGCCAGTCGTGGTGGCTCACGCCTTAATCCCAGCACTTTGGGAAGCCAAGACAGGCAGACCGCTTGAGCTCAGGAGTTTGAGACCAGCCTGGGCAACATGGTGAGATCAATACAAAAAAAATTAGCTGAGCGTGTCTGGTAGTCTCAGCCACTTGAAAGGCTGAGGCAGGAGGACTGCTTGAGTCTGGGAGGTGGAGGCTGCAGAAGTGAGCCAAGACTGCAGCACTGTGCTCCAACCCTGGGTGACTGAGGGAGACTCTGTCTTAAAAAAGAAAAAAAAAGTTAAAAACTGTTGTGCAAAGCACACAATAAAGGGAGTGAAATGATAACCAGCAGAATCGGAGAAACTATTTGCAAGTCATATATCTAATAAGGGATTAATATCCAGAATATGTAAAGAATTCCTACAACTCAACAGTAACAACAAAGTAACAATAAACAATTCAAAATTAGAAAAGGACTTGAATAAACATTTTTCTAAAGAAGACATATAGGCTTGGTGGGGTGGCTCATGCCTGTAATCCCACCACTTTGTGAAGCTTAAGTGGATGGATCACTTGAGCTCAGGAGTTCAAGACCAGCCTAGGTAACATTGCGAAACCCCATCTCTACAAAAAAATATGTTAGCCAGGCATGGGGGCGTGTGTCTGCAGTCACAGCTACTAGGAAGACTGAGGTGGGAGGATCACTTGGGACCAGAGGAATGAGGCTGCAGTGAGCCGGGATCGTGCCTCTGCCCTCCAGTCTCGGCAACAGAGCAAGACCCTGTCTCAAAAAAAAAAAAAAAAAGGGCCGGGCGCGGTGGCTCAAGCCTGTAATCCCAGCACTTTGGGAGGCCGAGGTGGGTGGATCACGAGGTCAAGAGATCGAGACCATCCTGGTCAACATGGTGAAACCCCGTCTCTACTAAAAATACAAAAAATTAGCTGGGCATGGTGGCGTGTGCCTGTCATCCCAGCTACTCAGGAGGCTGAGGCAGGAGAATTGCCTGAACCCAGGAGGCGGAGGTTGCGGTGAGCCGAGATCGCGCCATTGCACTCCAGCCTGGGCAACAAGAGCGAAACTCCGTCTCAAAAAAAAATAAAATAAAATAAAAAATAAAAATAAAAATAAATTAAAAAAAAATTCAAACAATGACGAAAAAGAAGATATACAAATGGCTGATCAGCATATGAAAAATTGTTCAACATCAATATTCCCTAGAAAATGCAACTCAAAATCACAATGAGATACCAATTCCTACCCATTAAAATGAATTTTATTAAAAAACCAAGAAAAGGAAAATAACAAGTGTGGGTGAGAAAATGGAGAAATTGGCACTCCTGAGCATTACTGATGAAAATGTAAAATGGAGTAGCCACTTTGGAAAATCGCTGGGTGGTTCCTCAAAAAGTTGAGCATAGATTTACTGTATGTTCCAGCAATTCCTCTTCTAGGTATATATCCAAAGAATTAAGGTGGGATTCCCACAGACATCTGTATAGCCATGTTCATAACAGCACTATTTACAATAGTTAAAAGGTGAGAACAGCCCAAATGTCCCCTGACAGATGAATAAACAAAATGTGGATATCCATAAAATATAGTATTATTCAGCCTGAAAAAATAATAAAATTCTGATACATGCTACGACATGGATGAACCTTAAAAACATTACACTTCGTTAAATACAAAAAGGCACATATAGTAAGATTTCACTTACATGAAGCAGCTAGGACAGGCAAACTCATAGAAAGAAAGGAGAAGAGAGGTTGCCAGGGGCAGAGGGAAGAAGAAAATGGGAGTTATTTAATGGATAGAGAGTTTCTATGCAGAATAATGCAAAAGTTCTGGAAATGGATAGTGATGGTCGCACAACACTGTGAATGCATTTAGTGTCAGTAAATCGTACACTTAAAAATGGTTAAAATTAGGCCGGGCGCGGTGGCTCACGCCTGTAATCCCAGCACTTTGGGAGGCCGAGGCGGGTGGATCACGAGGTCAAGAGATCGAGACCATCCTGGTCAAAATGGTGAAACCCCGTCTCTACTAAAAAATACAAAAATTCAGCTGGGCATGGTGGCGTGTGCCTGTAATCCCAGCTACTCAGGAGGCTGAGGCAGGAGAATTGCCTGAACCCAGGAGGCGGAGGTTGCGGTGAGCCGAGATCGGGCCATTGCACTCCAGCCTGGGTAACAAGAGTGAAACTCCGTCTCAAAAAAAAAAAAAAAAAAATGGTTAAAATGGGCTGGGTATTTTGGCTCACCCCTGTAATCCCAGCACTTTGGGAGGCCAAGGCGGGTGGATCACTTGAGGTCAGGAGTTTGAGATCAGCCTGGCCAACATGGTGAAACCCTGTCTCTACTAAAAATACAAAAATTAGCCAGTGTGGTGGTGCATGCCTGTAGTCCCAGCTACTCAGGAAGCTGAGGCAGGAAAATTGCTTAAACCTGGGAAGTAGAGGTTGCAGTGAGCAGAGATCGTGTCATTGCACTCCAGCCTGAGTTACAGAGACTCTGTCTCAAAAAAAACAAAAAAACAAAAAAACAAATAGCTTTTGTTTGTTTTGAGACACAGTCTTGCTCTGTTGCCCAGGCAGTAACACAATCCTGGCCCATTGCAGCCTCTGCCTCCCGGGTTCAAACAATTCTTCCGCAGCTTCCCGAGTAGCTGGCATTACTGGTGTGCACCACCACGCCCCGCTAATTTTTGTATTTTTAGTAGAGATGAAGTTTCACCATGTTGGCAAGGCTGGTCTCGAACTCCTGACCTCAAGTGATCTGCCTGCCTTGGCCTCCCAAAGTGCTGGGATTACAGGCATGAGCCACCGCACCCAGTCACCAAATAATTTTAAAAGTATGAGAACAGGCTTGCCTGCCACCATGTAAGACATGCCTTTGCTCCTCCTTCACCTTCTGCCATGATTATGAGGCCTCCCCAGCCATGTGGAACTTATATTCATTGGAAGAGACCTGCAAAGCTACCCTGGGCACCTGGCAAGACTCCATTTTGATCATAGTGCAAAGAGAGCTCTCAGATTGAACCAGAAATTAGCCACAGTTTCACTGAGTCCTCAACCACTTAATTCACTGCCAGAGTTCTACTGTTGTAAAGAGAGAAGCAGCTTTGAGAGAAATGCTTTTAAATTGAAATAACCATGGCGTTCGAACAAAATAACATTTGGTATTCTTAAGTGACTCTTTTAGACTAAGTTAATGGTAGCAGAACTGCTTTTTTTTGACAGAGTCTTGCTTTGTCACCCAGGCTGGAGTGTAGTGGCACGATCTCGGCTCACTGCAACCTCTGCCTCCCAGGTTCAAGCGATTCTCCTGCCTCAGCATTCCAAGTAGCTGGGATTACAGGCATGCACCACCACGCCCAGCAAATTTTTTTTTAGTAGAGATGCAGCTTTACCACGTTGGCCAGGCTGGTCTTGAACTCCTGGCCTCATGATCCACCTGCCTTGGCTTCCCAAAGTGCTGGGATTACAGGTGTGAGCCACCGTGCCCTGCTGAACTACATTTAAGTGTGTACACAGATGGCTGTAATCCTAAAATACTTACATGTTGCAAATTCTTTTCAGATTAAGTTGGTCATCCTAGAACAGGGGATCAAGATCTAGCCTTAAGAGAACTTGTTTTTTAGCCTCACTACTAGTCTTATTGTTGCTGCTGACAAACCATCTTACACTTAGGCCAATGGTTATACATAGCATCAGGTAAGATCACTGCATCTGCTCAGTAAGTGCATCACCATTGGGAACAATTAAAAAAAAAAAAGAAAAGGGACCTGGGGGACACAGCCAATGAGGAAAAAGACTGGCACTAGAGACCCTAAACAGGCTCTGGATGGAGAAACCCAGGTATAGCATAGGGCTACAGTGAGATGTGGGACTGGTAAAAACAATTAAGTGAACATCTGTATACAGAAGTCAACACCCCTATCTCGGCAAGAAGAAAGCCTGACAACTAGGCATCAGCTCCTCAAGCAGAAAGCTAAAGGGTCTTCTCTAAGGAGAGGAAAGGATCCCAAAGAAAAGAACCTTACATTTTGGCTTCTAGGAACCCCTGCCCACCCCCAGATCCCCAGCACACTAGTTGGCTACCTTATTCACCCCAAAGTAACACCTATCAATTAATAAACTTCTCCCAAGAAAAAGTATAATGAGAAGAAGACTGAAGAATATAGATGAAAGAGTGTCCCCAAGTTAATGACTAAGTGACAGACGTAACTGAGTGATAGGTATACAAGGGCTTATTGCTCTCTACTTGCACGTATATTTGAATTTTACTATAATAAATATTAAAAAAAAAACAATCCTTCAAAATGTGCAAAGCTTTTAAAGAATTTATCCCCTTACAGATTTTAGCAAAAATGAGTACAGAGGAGGAGGCAGGGAAAGGCAGGGCTCAGAGGGATTCAACAGCATAAAAAAATTAAAGAAAAAAAGAGAACAAAGGTTTGGTTACAAGAATATGATCACAATAATGTTTACAACAGGAAAGAAATGTAGTATATATTCTATAGTAAAATATGAGACAAAGAGCAGAAACCATTAAAAACAATCTAGGCCAGGCGCGGTGGCTCAAGCCTGTAATCCCAGCACTTTGGGAGGCCGAGGCGGGTGGATCACGAGGTCAAGAGATCGAGACCATCCTGGTCAACATGGT